AGAACACCCCCCCTTAATCAGGGCTTAATGAGAGAAGTCATGTATCCGGACTACAATGCCTGCAGCTTAAAAGTTTCTTGCGTTGTGATGGGAGTAGTTCAGGCTTGTCAGCAGCTGGTTTGGCACCAACTTTTTATAAACCAATAGGACAAGAGAGCTTTATGGTGAGAAAAGACTAAGGCATGGATGGCTAAACTCCGGCCCGCCAGCTGTGGTGAAACAACAAATCCCATGGAGCATCTCTCTCCAGGAGTCATGTCTGTGGCTGTGAGAATCTTGCAATGCCTCATGGGATTTGTAGTTCCACCACAGCTGGAGGGCCGCAGTTTGGCCATCCCTGGTAAGGCAATGAAGAAGGCCTCCAACCGAATCAGTCCATAGCATATTAAAACCTTCTTACGGCCCCATCATCAGAATGTTTTGCTCTTGATAATCATTTTGTGTTTCCTCCTAGCTGAAGATGGTGATTAGAAAAGGCAGCCAATTGGAACCCGTGTATGTAGGTGAGTCATGGATCAAAGACCTAAGCTTCCTATTAGAAATCTCATTTTGTGTATCTAAACCCCAGAACAAAAAAAGTAACAGATTGCAGCTCAACAGTTCTCAGATGTGGTAACTGCATTAGTTTTCTTGCTTTTTCCCCACCTGGTGCTCCTGCCAGCAACCCACTTCTGTTCTAGGGTGACAACACTCACTTGCTTTATCTATAGAGAAGTAGTGTTGCCACCCTAGAAGAGGAATACAAATGGCTCTTTCTTTTCTGAGAGGAGAAGGTTCTGTAGCCCAGAGAGAGAACTGATGACAATGTAACTGATAAGAGTTCAATAGAAACAGAGAGCACGGGACGTTTTCAGTTCGTTATTATAGGGATTTATATAGCGCTGTGAGTTTACCAAGCGCTTCACATGCAGAACACTCACATCAGTCCCCGACCCTCAAGGAGCTTACAATCTAAGGTCCCTTTTTTCACATGCATACGCAAAGGGCCAATTTAGACAGGAGCCAATTAACCTTCCAGCATGTCTTCAGAGTGTGGGAGGAAACCAGAGTACCCGGAGGAAAAGCCATGTAAGCACAGGAAGAACATGCAAACTCCATGCAGATGGTGTCCTAACTGGGATTTGAACTGGTGCTGTAAGGCATAAGTGCTAACTGTTAGGTCACTGTGCTGCGCTGTTATCAGAGCTTTAAAGGTGTTTGTATTTTAGTAGCTATGGGGTTCATTTATGTAATAGGATGCAGTTTATGGATTTCATTCCTTTCTTTTTTTTTCCCACATATAAATGCATTTCAGCAAAAGTTAAACAGTTAATGGGGTCAAGGGAGCTTACAACAGTCAATCTGAGCTAGAGTTGTTTGTCTTTTTACAAACAGACAGATGCAGTTGTCACCCGTAGCATTTAAACCTACTTGTCCATCTAAGACAGGGGTGGGCCCTCCAACTGTGGTGATACTACAGATCCCATCATGCATCTGTCTCTGGGAGTCATGCCTGAGGCTGTGAGAATCTTGCAATGGCTCGTGGAATTTGTAGTTCCACAATAGCTGGAGGGCTAGAGTTTGCCCACCCCTGATCTAAGACTACCCAATCAGGGTGACACATTTCACTCAAGAACAAACAGCGTTGTCGCTCTATTAAAGGAGAACTATGAGGTGAGTGCTTTTCACTCACCTCATAGTTCTAGCCGACCTGTGACAATGAGACTGTCACAGGTCGGCTCAGTAGATCGGGAGGTGAGCTAACACATAACGGCGTTCACTCACCTCTCGATCCTGTCACGGCTCTCTGCCATGACAGGGGAGGGGCTGGATTCCCCCCTCCACGCTCCGATCTGCCAGCTCTGACTGGCGGAACGGACTGGGGAGGTGGGCGGGTAGAGCTGGCTCTGCCTCTAGATAGGCAGAGCCAGCTGTCAGTGACACAGCAGGGCGGATCCAGACATAATTGTCGGGATCCGCTTCAGCTGTGGCGTCTCAGTATATTGGGAACTACAGCTCACGGTATACTGAGCCTAGGGTGACGGGAGGACGCTAGTTTGTGTCCTCCCGTTACCCTAAGGAGAACTATGGGGAAAAGACTTAACCCCATAGTTCTCATTTAAAGAAAGTGGAAAAATCAAAAATCCACTGGCAGGGATTTAATCAATCTTTGCTACTGACGGACTGTATCATAACTGTCATTTTTTGTCCAGAGTTCCACTTTAACACCTTTTTGCTTCTCTCCTCAGAGCTGACCCTGCCGCAGTTCTACAGTTTTCTGCATGAGATGGAGCGAGCCAAGAGCAGTCTGGAGTGTTTCACATGACCAGGCACCTTAGAGTCTTCTATGAAAACTCCAATGCAAGGTCCTCCGACGTTGGCTGCCATTCACCTGGTACTCTGCAAGGGTTCTGATCGCAGATTACACTTTGCGGGACTGTCTGGAACACAGGAGATGGACAGATGCAGCATTGCCCACAGCAACCAATCCGATTTTTATCTTTCATTCTCTACATAAGTGAAACCTGGAATGTGGTTGTTAGTAGTTTCTCTAATCTGTCAATGAAAAGTAATAAAACTTTATACACAACTTGTGTTTGATACATACGATATTGCGCAATACCATGAGGTTATAAGGCAGGGTTGCCACTTGTCCCGTGTTCACCTGGACAGTCCTGGTTTTGAGTCCTGTATGTGCTATGTCTGGGTTTCAGCTGGCCTGAAACCTGGAAACAGGACTCTAGACCCGGACTGTCCAGGTGAATCTGGGACAGGTGGCAACCCTATTATAAGGTGACCTGGAACTCAACAGAAGTTCAAGAGACCCTGTCAGCTTGCCCATGCAAAGACCCTTCCACCCCCATATACTCAACTTGACTGTCTTCCCACCCTGCTCCTTCCTCCGTTGCAGCAGGAAACTCTACCCATCACTTCCAGGTATGGGGAGCATGTGGCAGTGTTGGGGACTAGCAGCCAATCGCTATGCCCAAGCACCCTCATATGCAGACTATTTCCCATAGTTTGCAATTGAGTGCAGGCAAGATGAGTGAGTTTAAGGAGGGTTGGGGTACACAAGAGACACTGTCAAATTGCCCTACTCGGTCCACAATTCTTTGATGGCATGGTTAAGGGTTAGAACCAGAGTAAGCAACCTCAGCGCTCCAGCTGTAGTGAAACTACAAATCCTCTGAGAGACGTGACTGTTGGAGTCTTGCATTGCCTCATGGGATTCGTAGTGCCAAAGCAGCTCGAGTGCCGGGTGGCCTATCCCTAGGTTAGAACATCTATCAAGTCTTTATTGAAATATGTCCTGGCTGAGGAGATTGATAATCCCTTCCTGGATATTCGATGGTCTCTTGAGAGTGTGAACCATTTGTGCCCCCTCACTGGGATGCTTCTGCTATGTATTGAGGTGGAGAAACTACTAGGAAACCATAGTCACTGTCACCGGCCTTTTGGTTAAGTGGGCTGCTCATCATAGTGCGCCAGTAGGTAGGAAGGAGGTGGGAGGGGACAGCTGTGCTCCAATACTAGACAGAAGTCTTTGGACTTGATCCATTCAGAATAAACCTTGAATGAGAGGTTCTATGGGTTATTTGTCCCTTTTAGGTTCTTTCACTTCATACCTGATTGCAGTTATTTCAAAGAAGGACACTAGCGGAGGGTGGCCATGGCAGCGTTTGCCATAATTGGCAAGTATGCCAGCTTCCTTGAACCTGCTTAGTTTGCTCCCTTCCAACGAAGCAAGAACTGTTGCTATACTCTTCTATTCGTCCACAATCACCATCAATTTTGGCCACTGGGCGGCCATTAAGCCTGCACGCCGGAGTTACATTATCTTCGTTCCTGGCTTCTCACAGATTCCAGGAGTGTGTTGTGACTGTTCACTACCATACATATTTCATTTGTATTTAGCCCATACTTCCACTTGTGATGTGTGGAGTAAGGTCTGTAGGGCCCGGGGGTCATGTCTTGCACTGGGCCCGGGAGTAAAAGACTATGGCGCTGTTGGCCAGTAAAAAGACCTAACGAAAATATTAAAGGCCTCATTCACATGAGAAAAGGCCGGCACGTACAGCTCCGTGCTGCGTGCACGGCCGTATCGGGCAGCTCCCGGGAAGGACAGGTGCTGCGTGTGATTAGTACGCAGCCCCTGTCCTTCTCTATGGGAGTACGTGGCCGTACGCTGCCCTACGCTCACCCGCCCTGTGTTGGTGTTCGTACCCATACGCTGACAGGATGGCTCCTGTCTGCGTCCGAGCCGGGACACCCACACCCGTACGGACCTGCACTTGGGGTGAGAGTAGGCCACGTACTCCCATAGAGAAGGACAGGGGCTGCGTACTAATCACACGCAGCACCTGTCCTTCCCGGGAGCTGCCCGATACGGCCGTGCACGCAGCACGGAGCTGTACGTGCCGGCCTTTTCTCATGTGAATGAGGCCTAAAGTGGAACTCTGATGAGACCTTCCTTAGTCATTAGGAAAGATAGCTGATAATGCAGCTCCTGCCACACATTGTATTCCATAACCAATGCACAACACAATAAATATCTCGGGGACCACTGTCAACCTTCAAGTGTAATTAAATCCTTTATTGGATGTATAACGCATACAATGGCTTTGTTGTTGTATTTTCATTAATGTAACAATACTGAGCAGTGCATTGTAGCATTTCAAGGTCGTGTTGGAAGTCTTTCTCAATTGTTTCGGTAACAATTGCCAGCCTGCGTCCTTTCATTTCTTTTTTTGCACAGTAACCCACTAAGTACTGCCTTGTTTTGTACCCGTTGTTCTCTTTGTTATATCAAACTTCAACCTTGTTCTTTATTAATAAAGATTATCTTGATGGAAAAAAAAAGGTGTAAATATAGAATGACAGATATGCTGCAGTCTATCACTAGCAGTTTTTGTTTTTTCAGAGTTCCCCCAACATGGTTTTATTACCATTAGATAGCAGACCAGTTCTTTATTCTACTTGCTTCAACAGGGTGGCAACGCTGTTGGGTCTCCAATGAAATCACACAGCGGCGTTGGCACCCTGTGGACAGGTTGGATGAGGAATGTTTCAGGTCAACCTCAGATAAAATGGTGGGTCATACCGAAAGGATTAGCTCCTGCACCTCCTGCAAGCACATGAGCTTCTTTTTGGCAGATCTCAGCTCCTTTTCGCCCCCAGACTCAATAGGAAACCCTTTAAAGCGTGCGTTTCAATTAGTTTTGCGTGTTTTTGCTCGCGTTTTGTCCATTGACTTCAATGTACGCAACCTGCTCATAAAAACGCACTTAACCCCTTTTTAATTCCTTGTTTTGAGCGTTTTGTCATGCTTAGCTTTGAGTGGCATAACACCTAGGTGTGACTGGAGTCTCAACGTGGAGGAGATGAAAATATAATAAAAATATCTAAATAAATGGATATAAATGGTCTTCTCTGTTCAGTCCCAATTGGAATTTCTAATCTTGCATTATTTATTGCAAGTGATTTAATTTTACTTTTTATTTTACATTTACACTTTACATATAAAAAGAAATATATACAAATAATGTTTAATACTCT